AGAAACTGCTTATATTACTGTCCGACCATTCCTTACGATTACCGAATGTTTCCTTATAAAGAAACGGCTAATATTACCGCCCAACCTTTTTATCCGTATACCGAATATTTCATTATAAAGAAACGGCTATCCGAATACCGAATATTTCATTATAAAGAAACGACCTTTCTTTTCGAATAGCAATGTATTCGGAATAGTTTTATATTAACATTGAGAACTTTTAGAAAAGGCCTGTATTAAAATTAACAACATTCGGAATAGGTCTATATTAACATTGAGAACTTTTAGAAAAGGCCTGTATTAAAATTAACAACATTCGGAATAGGTCTATATTAACATTGGGAACTTTTAGAAAAGGCCTGTATTAAAATTAACAACCGAGGAGCTTTTTTAATGATCTGTAAAGAAAGCTTTTTCGTTTGCGCGATTGTCGTTACTGCAAACGCTTTTAGAATATTCGCCATTAAATCTTAGAACTTCTCTTCTCTATTGGGCATCGCTTGTGATGCATTAGATGAAGTAATTTCAAATTGCCTTAAGCGGTAGGGTGTCTTTTGTAGTTAACACTTGTAGATATATTTCGATTTCACTTTCTAAAAGCCATTTGCGTCTTCGAAAACGTTATCAACCTGTACGTTTTACGAGATAAGAAATTCTTTTTCAAAATTTACCAAAGTCTAAAAAAAAAAGAAAGAAAGAATGCGTAGCTAAGGTGAAGTTGATGCAGAAAGTAGATTGGGTTATTCGGGTGAAAGTTCCAGTGTAGCCTTCTGCTTTTACTATCGCACTACATTGCCTTATAAAACGTATGCGTATATCCTTTTCCCCACAGCTAAAGGTTAAATAACAGTGTACTCTGGTTTTACTGGCTAAGAGTAAAACTCTGAAATAAAAACCGTGGAAAAGGCAAAGGAAATGTCAGTTCTATCAGTTCGATTGCAATATACAGTCTGGGGTCAAGATGTTCTGTCAACAAGATTTCTTTTGTTTCTTGAATTGAGGGAATTATATATTTTCCCCTTTTCTAGACAGTATAATTTGGGACATTATTGAATTCACGTTTCTTGAATAAAATCCTGAATGCGACGGGCTTTTTCCATTGGGATCAATGTGTATTTCTGATCCTACTGGGATGATGCATTATATACACTATTTACTGGTTTGGATCACTGTTTTATGCACTTTATGAAAAATACGTTACCATTATATAGTGATTTTCCAAGCGTTGCTTAGATGTGGCACAAGGCCCGAAGTAGGGGTCACCCAATGAGGATCGAACTCACTACACAGTCGTAATTTTTCTAGCGAGACAAGCTCGCTACCCACTACACAACCTCGAGGTGCCCCTTTTTTTTCCAAGCGGAGCTTAGATGTGGCACAAGGCTGAAAGTATGAGGCACCCAGTGAGGATCGAACTCACTATTCAGTTGGTAAATGTTTCATCGAGATATACTTGCTAACCATTACCCGCCACGAGGTGCCCAAAGTGGTTTTCTAAGGGCAGCTTAGATGTGGCACAAGGCCGAAAGTATGGGCACCTAGTGAGGATCGAACTCACTATTCAGTCGTAATTGACCTAGCAAGACAAACTGTTTAACCATTACAGCAAATCGAGGTGCCTTACGTTACCATTGCATAACTTGTGAAAAGAGGGTTAGCATTTTCTTGTAGTCATATATTTTAATTAAATGGCAAGATGTTTCACAGGCTGTATAATTCCGTGTTTTGATTTAGTCTTTTTTTTTTTGTATTCTTTAATTCTCCTGGCATATCTATAACTTAATTGATAACTTCGATGTTATGTATGAAAGGGTTTTTCTTCTTTATACGAATTTCTTCTTAAAAGAGAGCATATTTGTGAATGCGTCCTTCTGCTTGTATAAATGAGTACGCCATTTTTTTAGACGATGAAACTTACCTTTTGCTGATCATTCTGTACGCCAAAATTCGTCTGCTGGCTCGCTCGCTTCATTTATGGATTGTGGAAGCCTGTTTTTTTTTTTTATTATTCTTCCATTCTAATTGGAGTGAGGTGCTGGAGGACGTATTTGATTGGATGAAACCTGATTTGCGTTTTTTTATGGTTCTAAAATATCTTTTAAAGCCTGCGATTAATATTTTCACACACCTCGTTGTACCGACACATGTTGGTATTTGATCACCACAATCTGGCTGACCTCAGTGAAGGAGGATTCTGTTGGATAAACCCGAAAATCCAAAGGATCCCAGAGCGGCATCACTAATAATATGGCCGTGGTTATCTTAGAGATGTATTTCTAAACTTGGTCCAAAATTTAATTCACATTTTAAAGAGATATAAACGTTAAATCAAAATATATTCATCTATTTTTGTTTTATAATTCGAATATATGTGAGCTTGCTTCTTTTCTCTGGCATGTGTCTTCAAGATGCGGGATATCATGTCTCTTGACAGCTTACTCTCCTTTTCTCAGTTTTGCTATTCATCTACATAAACCTGTTAGGTTCCTCACTGATTCGCTCTATATCATTTCTGAGTCCACTATATCCTGTGAGTGTTAACTTTTCTAGGCCTCTTTTCTACGTTAAATGTTTGAAATTACAAATTCTTACTTTGAATTTGAAATATACATATACTTTTAGTCACCATTTTATTAAAAACTTCCTGACTGCTGAAATGTTCTGACCATAGCACGCTTAGTATTTTTCTGGGGACACACATCTCTGACTCCATGAGTTTCTGTTATTTTTCTGTAAGGGAATTATCCAGCAGACACTGCTATATAAGATGCATCCCAGAAGCTAAAAGAAAGTATTATGGAGAATGAAAATTTCATTAGAATAAAATTAACAAGGACGGCAGTGTTATGTTATCTTGCACCATCGATAAAAATACACGTGGCCTGCAACGACATATGCAAACTAGTATTTGCTACCAAAGTACACACACATGCACGCACACACTCACAGACATACACACACACCTATATATATATATATATATATATATATATATATATATATATATATATATATATATATATTTATATATATATATATAGATTTACTTTTTCAGAAAAATGTCCAAATTCACGTCTAATTCAAGTCTTAGTCATTTGATATTTTAAGATATATGCAAAATTCTTTAATATTTAAGAATGGCTGATAATCCTTTTACTTTTACCTTGAACAAGGGATTGATATCAATCATTATCGACCTCTCTATAAAGAGAGTTACTGATTCTTCATAAATCTCTTTAAATGAAAAGAGTACCTTAACCGTACTTGACGGTACCTTGGGGAGGCACGGTGGAGTAATGAATAGCGGCTCGGATTAAGGAATCGGAGAGCCGAGTTCGAATTAATTACATTCACTTACGTCCCTTGGGAAAGGTATGAATTTTCTTCTCTCTCCTCATGATAAATATCAGGATAGACCGGGTTCTATAGCATGGATGACAACTGGTCTACCGCAGAAAGATATGATAACCTACTCCAGAAAAATCTCTCTCGAAAGATACATGATCGCCTAAGCGTGTATTACGTATATAACTGACTGAACTTAAACGACTATGATAAACCATATTTTCAAATTTCGTGACTATTTTTTTCTTATTAATGTTTAAAGTGCGGTCTAGAGTTTTAGTTATTCTGCAAATCCGCTTTGAAGTAAAATTTTTAGAAACACTTATTTAAAGAATACACATAAAGAATTACATTTTGGATCTTCTAAATATTGTAAATAAAATCTTTTGGTATCACCGTAGAATCCCTGATGACCGGACTAATAAGTCCTTCCGGATATGAGGGGTTATATTACAAAGTCCGGATATGAGGGGTTATATTTAGATTAAAATAAAGAACTGAAATCAGGTTTAATATTTATTTTCAATGTTTTATAGTAAACAAAATTAGCTAATGGTGAGTGAAATATAACGCAATTGATTTTAAGGAAAAAGAAATAAATCATGTAATATTGATGAAAATTCATTAAATTAAGTCTACCACGTATGCAAAACAAATAATGTAACGAGGATTTTTTAAACGCTGTTGCATGATGATTCTTTCTCTTCTAATGTCATTCTCAACTTTTTCCTCATTTCGTTTTGCTTTTGTTCTTGAAATTATTTAAACGAAAAACACTTTTTAACTCTGCGTGCGTTATTGCAATCGTCATAGGTGAATGCTGGTTTTCTTTCCATAAAACTGACAACCTTTTCAATAGCTTTTTCCATTTCAGTCCCGGTTTCATCAAAATCATGTTTTTTTTCTTTTATTTCCTTGTTCATAGTGGCAGTGTGAACGCTGGAGAATAGTTTCTTTGGAAGATTTTATATCATACAATGTTGACTTTCCTATGTTGAACTCAGCCATTAGCTACAATAAACTTTCACCAGCGTCTAGTCTGTTTAAAATTTCCACTTTTTGCGATAACTCCAAAGTTGTTCTTTTCCTCTTATTCCCATCATCTTTTGCAACAATACAAGCCATTAGGATGAAATAAGCATAAGCAATTATTCAAAGTAAATTTACTGAAAAACAGAAATTTTAAATCAGTTACATATCACCCAAATAGTTCAAATATACACACCAAAATCATGTCCGGATATGCAGGATTCCAGATATTATGGATTCCGGATATTAAGGATTCCTGATATATGGATTTCTACTGTATTTTAATTAATGCCTTTTCCAGCATTGTATTAACATTCAGCTTGGCTAACTTGAATTGGTGTCATTTTTTTAAAATTTAGAATTCAGTAAATGATTTATCTTGGCTGATTAATCATATTAAGGTTAAATCTGTGAGATCGTAGAGGCAGAATTTTCATTTGAGAATAACCAATTAAAACAGCTAGTAACTGTGTATATATATAGATATCAAGTTTTCGTTTTGAGTCAACACTACTAAGAGACTTAAGCGGGAATTCACAGGAGTGATATCAAATATTTCCGTAGCTCAAGTGAGATTAAAACGGGTTGGTAGGGCGACAAAAAAGAATTACTTTGCAAATAAGTTTCTAGATGCATAGGAAATGAGAAATGAAAGAAAGAAAGAAAGAAAGAAAGAAAGAAAGAAAGAAAGAAAGAAAGAAACGAACGAAAGAAAGAATCGAAAATTTAAAAATAGCGGTTGTAAGCCCAACGAAAAAGGTGTAAAGGAGGAACAACTACAGAAAGAAAGAAAGAAAGAAAGAAAGAAAAAAAGAAAGAAAGAAAGAAAAGAAAAGTATGGAAAGATATACAAAATAAAAGAAAGGGGGTACGAAAGAAAGAAAAAAACATTAAATAAAGAGAAAATGAATGAAAAATGAAAGAGAGAACGAAAGAAATCAAGAAAGAAAGAAAAGAAAAAAATAAAGAATTACAATTTAAAATAAAAGATTATAAGAAGAAGATTGAAGAAAACAACAGAATCACAAATCAAAAGAAAGAAAAAAGAAAGAAAATCTGTTATAATAAAAGAAAAAGGAAAGTAAGATAGAAAATAAGAAAAAACAAAATAAAGAAAGATGAATGGAAGGAAAATGGGAAAAAGAAACAAAGAAGAAAGAAAGAAAAAGAAAAACGGAAGTAATAGAAGCAAAAAGAAAGAAAGACAGAAAATAAGAAAAAACTATTAAAATAAAGAAAGTTGAATGGAAAGAAAATGGGAAAAGGAAAGAAAGAAAAATGAAAGAAAGTAGAAAGAAAGAAAGAATGAAAGAAAGAAAAAAGAAAGAAAGAAGAAAGAAAGAAAACCTGAAGTAATCGAAACAAACAGAAAGAAAGACATAAGGAAAAAAATAATTAAAATAAAAAAAAGATGACTGAAAGGAAAATGGGAAAAAAAGAAAGAAAAATGAAATAAAAGAAAGAAAGAAAGATAGAAAGAGAGAAAGAAAGGAAAGAGAAAGAAAGAATTGGCGCTAAGTTTCAAAGAACATCAGAAGTTTGACCAAATGGAATTTTGGCAAGATTCCACTCTGAAGTAACTTCCGATTTGATTCGTCTTGTGTGGCAGGAACAGAAAATGGCGTTGACGAGGAGATAAATTCGCTTCGTGAGGAAACTGGAAATCAGTATCACTTGGCGAAGCAACAGATTGAAATAAGGACACTGAGCAAAGAAAAGGTAGAGAAAGAAAGAAAGCCATAAAGAGAAAGAAAGATAGGAAGAGTGACAAAGGAAAAAGTAAGAAACAGATAGAGAGTGGCAAGAAATAAAACGAAGAATGGAAAAGATAAGAAAGAAATGAAGAAAGCAATAAAAAAAGAGATAGAAAATCAAGTAACCGGAAAAGAAGGAAAGAGAAGAGGAAGGAGATACAGAAAGAGGGAGAGACAAAAAAAAAAAAAAGTGGAAAAAAAAGAGAATAAAAAAAAAGGGAAAGAAAGCAAATGAGTCTGAAAAACGCAATATAGAAAAGGAAAGCGAAACGAAACAGTAAATTACATAAAAGAAAAACAAGGAAAGAATAAATATACAAATATCACAGATATAGAAAAAGAAAGAATATAAAATTGGAAAGAAGGCAAAATTGGCATAGAGCGGTGGATCCAAACAGATTTTGGGCCATCTCCCACTTTGGTATTTCTAAAATTCTGGTGCCCCCCCTCCTCCCTGTAATATTTAATTCTTACATACACAACCTTTACTGCAATTCACGTGAAGGAAGCTTAAAATTCTATTAACTTGGTCTCCAAACAAGCCTCCAAATAACATGGCGTCCATGAAAGAGAAAAATAAAAAAAAAAAAAAAAAAACAATTAAAAAACTGCTATAGCGTACCTATGAACACTAATGGGTCTGTCCCAATTCTCGAAAATACGTTGGACACTTTTGTAACTGGTGGTAATATGCTGTCTAAGTAGTCCACCACTAGCAGTGGTTTACCTACTTCACGCCGCTGGCGAGTATTGTATTTTGTTGATGTTATAAAGATTACTATTTCATTACCAAACTTTGTTTATTCCTCATTCAGTAACCCTTCCTAGGTTACAAACAAAACAAAAAGGCAGATAAATATATATAGTTTCAAAACAAATAGAGAGCTGAAAGGCAGACATACACAATATTTGAATGAAAGTTTATTCTAAGATAAACTATGAAATAATAATGCAAAAGGAAAACTGAGCTCATCATAAAATAACTGTTAGTAAATTCCTTGTGCGTCATGCCTGCTACAGATAGATTTTATGATAGGAACCGATTTAGCCAGCTTAAGACTTAAGTCTCCTCATTTAGTGATATTCAGTCGATTTCTTTTCTTCAATAACAAATCATTAACAGTACTGAAACTACATTCAGCTAAATATGAAGACTGAAATTGTAACAAGAAATTAATATTATTAACTGTTAATAACTCATTCTTGTATTGCCCCCTTATTCTGTTGGCATAGTAAACCGAAGGATACACATCTAACGCACCAAAATATTACCATGCTCCACCGGTGGGGCATAAGCCCCACGTTGGAAATCATTGGCATAGAGAAAAAAAAAGCAAAGACGGAAATTAGAAAGAGAAGGAACGGTGGAATGCAGAAAGCAAAAGAACAGAGGAAAAATACAGAAATAAAGGAAAGATGACAAAACAGAGGCAAAGAATAGGTGAAGAGAAGAGATGGAAAGAACAGATGGAAAGGACAGATGTAAAGGATAGATGAAAAGGACAGATGGAAAGGACAGATGTAAGGGACAGATGAAAAGAAATGACTGATGAAAAGAACAGATGAAAAGGACAGATGTAAAGAACAGATGGAAAGGACAGATGTAAAGGATAGATGAAAAAAGACAAATGAAAAAAGAAAATGGCAGATGAAAAGAGCAGATGAAAAAAAATGGAAAGAACAAATGAAAAACATATGGAAAAAATTAATAGCACAAATGAAAAGAAAATATAAAATAGACAGATGAGAAACAACGAATGAAAAGGACGTATGAAATGAAGAGGAGATATGAAAAAAGATATGAAAATAACAGATGAAAAGGACAGATGAAAAGAATAGATGAAAAGCACAGAGACAAAAAGACGGATAAAAAGAGACATATGGAAAAAGACATGGAAAGAACAATCGAAAAAAGTCATGAAAAGAACAGATGAAAAGAACAGATGAAAAGGAGACAAATGAAAAGATCAGATGAAAAGGGGACAAATGAAAAAGACAGATGATAATGACAGATGAAAAGAACAAATGAACTAAAACAAATGAAAAGGCCAGATGAAAAAGACACATTAAAAGAGCAGATGAAAAACATGGAAAGAAAAAATGAAAAACACACGCAAAAAACATTTACTAGTACAAATAAAAAGAAGAGATAAAATGGACAGATGAGAAAAAACAAAAAAAAAGAACTAAAGAAAACGACGTATGAAATGAAGAGGACATGAAAAAAGATATGAAAAGAACAGATGAAAAGGACAGATGAAAAGAACAGAGGAAAAGAACAGATGAAAAGGACAGATGAAAAAACAGATGAAAAGGACAGATGAAAAGAACAGAGGAAAAGAACAGATGAAAAGGAGAGATGAAAAGGACAGAGGAAAAAAACAGATGAAAAGGACAGATGAAAAGAACAGATGAAAAGAACAGAATAAAAGGACAGATGAAAAGAACAGAGGAAAAGGACAGATGAAAAGAACAGATGAAAAGGACAGATGAAAAGGACAGATGAAAAGAAAAAGGACAGATGAAAAGGACAGATGAAAAGAACAGATGAAAAGGACAGATGAAAAGGAGAGTGAAAAAAGATGGATGAAAAGAAACAGATGAAAAAAGACATTGAAAGGACAATTGAAAGAAAGTCATGAAAAGATCAGATGAAAAGAAAAGATGAAAAGGACAGATGAAAAGGGGACAAATGCAAAAGACAGATGATAATGACAGATGAAAAGAACACATGAAAAGAACATATGAACCAAAACAAATGAAAAGAACAGATGAAAAGGACAGATAAAAAAAAACATGAATAGAACCAATGAAAATAACACATGAAGAGAACAGATGAGAAAAGACAGATGAAAAATACAGATGAAAAAAAAAAAGAGATGAAAAGGGACATATGAAAAAGACAGATTAGAAAAACCGCCAAAATTATGTATGGAGGGAAAGAAGCAGACGGCGCTACACAATTAGCAAAGAAGAAAGAAAGAAAAGATAGATAAGAACGAATAAAGAGAAATGCTAGAAAAACGTTCGCTTCCTTGTACCGCTCTAGTAAGCACCTAATTCCTTTTGGCATGCTTTACCTATACAAGAGCCAGGTTAAACTAAAAAGCAGTCATGGCTGCCATATCTAGCTTGAGTCTGCACAGTTTTCACTTTCCAGGCTTGATAAAAACCAGAAACATCTTCGCGGCCTTTTCGGTGATTAATTATTTTCCACTCTTAAATCCTATCCCACTAACGGAACGTTGCAAGTCTCTTGTTAATCTAAAGCTATTTACATGGACAGTGTTCTGAGGAAATACTTTCCTTAATTTTGAACTTTACGGATGAAACCTGGCAGGACAGATTCATATTCACTGGGACGAATCATCACCCCCACCACTTCCTATAACATTAGTAAGAAGGAAATTAGATTCAGCCATTTTCGTCCAAAACCCCACGCTAAAATCTTATATGATCGATATAATCAATGGTTAACCATAATCTTTAACAAATATCCTTATAAATTAGAGTTATTACCTCCTCCGCATTTAACAACCTCAATTGGTAGCCTCTATCGTCAGTGGCTCTCGGGCCTTGTATTGAAAACAAGGAGAAATGTTAAGGAGATGAGAAAGAAGAAAGGTAACTATTTGCACTATTTACATTATTCGGAGTGTTGTCCTCATCTTTATTTTCATATTCACGACGTTTCGGACGTTGTACGCTTCGGCCTTCTTCAGGTGATATACTTTAGAATTTCGAACCGAAATCTACCGTGATAGATTGTTCTATTACCATGCGCCACGTGCCTTTTTTGGATATCTCAGATGAAGACAAAAGTCCGAACAATGTAAATAGTGTAAATAGTTATAGTATCTCATTTCAGAAATATAGACATATCCTGAAGAAGGCCGGTGCGTACAACGACCGAAACGTCATGAATATGACAATAAAGATGGGGACAACAATCTGAACAATGTAAAGAGTGTAAATAGTTACAGTACCTCATCTCGGAAATATAGACATCTCCTGAAGAAGGTCGGAGCTTACAACGACAGAAACATCGTGAATATGACAATAGGTAATGGAAAACGAGAAATCAGAGAAGTATAAGCAAAGAGGAAAAAAGGAAATGGAAAAGAATCGAATTTGCCATTACCAAGTTCATTTATGACTTCGGCGGTTATGACTCACCACAGTTTCCTCTATTTTGTTGCCTGAACTAGGTTACTCACTGTTCCCCCGTGTTTCACTGCCATCATTTTAAAGCTCTATTGCTCTTTCCTCATTATAAGGTCAAGACGTTTCAAATGCCTCTTTCTGATTGTAAGTATACATTTACCCGTTACCCTGAGGAATTCATAGGTAAAAAATCACGTTCTTTTCATCACATGTGAGGAAAAATTGTTCAGAATTCATTGCCATATACGACATTTGTTATTACATAACAGTTCAGTTTACTTGTCTATCTTTACAACGATTTTATGAAATAATACTTTGCATAGCTTTGGAAAACGTATTTGCGATTTATTTTTTTGTTTATTTTATGTCTGCTCGTTTGAATTAGTCGATAAAATAATTCTCTCGGTAAATAAGTGACTAAAAAAATTGCAAGAAATATAAATAATATTTCTCTTCTTAAAATATCTATTCAGAATTTGGGCGATCATGAATTTTTTCTGACATGTATTGTTTTGAGGCGAATTTCCTTGAGGGTTATCCCACTTTTTCTGTTGTTGTTTTGAGGCGAATTTCCTTGAGGGTTATCCCACTTTTTCTGTTGATGTTTTGAGGCGAATTTGGCTTGATGGTTATACCACATTTTCTGTTGTTGTTTTGAGGCGAATTTGGCTTGATGGTTATACCACTTTTTCTGTTGTTGTTTTGAGACGAATTTCCTTAATGGTTATCCCACTTTTTCCGTTGTTGTTTTGAGGCGAATTTCCTTGATGGTTATCCCACTTTTTCTGTTGTTGTTTTGAGGCGAATTTGCTTGATGGTTATCCCACTTTTTCTGTTGTTGTTTTGAGTCGAATTTCCTTGAGGGTTATCCCACTTTTTCTGTTGTTGTTTTGAGGCGAATTTGCTTGATGGTTATCCCACTTTTTCTGTTGTTGTTTTGAGTCGAATTTCCTTGAGGGTTATCCCACTTTTTCTGTTGCTGTTTTGAGGCGAATTTGGCTTGATGGTTATACCACATTTTCTGTTGTTGTTTTGAGGCGAATTTCGTTGATGGTAATCCCACTTTTTCTGTTGTTGTTTTGAGACGAATTTCCTTAATGGTTATCCCACTTTTTCCGTTGTTGTTTTGAGGCGAATTTGCTCGATGGTTTTACTACTTTTTCTGTTGTCGTTTTTAGGCGAATTTGCTTGATGGTTATCCCACTTTTTCTGTGGTTGTTTTGAGACGAATTTCCTTAATGGTTATCCCACTTTTGCTATTGTTGTTTTGAGGGGAATTTGCTTGATGGTTATCCCACTTTTTCTGTTGTTGTTTTGAGGCGAATTTCCTTGAGGGTTATCCCACTTTTTCTGTTGCTGTTTTGAGGCGAATTTGGCTTGATGGTTATACCACATTTTTTTGTTGCTGTCTTGAGGCGAATTTGCTTGATGGTTATACCACTATTTCTGTTGTTGTTTTGAGGCGAATTTCCTTGATGGTTATCCCACTTTACATTTGTTGTTTTGAGGCGAATTTGCTTGATGGTTATCCCACTTTTTCTGTTGTTGTTTTGAGACGGATTTCCTTAATGGTTATCCCACTTTTTCCGTTGTTGTTTTGAGGGGAATTTGCTTGATGGTTATACCACTTTATCTGTTGTTGTTTTGAGGCGAATTTGCTTGATGGTTATCCCACGTTTTCTGTTGTTGTTTTGAGACGAATTTCCTTGAAGGTTATCCAACTTTTTCTGTTGTTGTTTTGAGGCGAATTTGCTCGATGGTTATCCCACTTTTTCTGTTGATGTTTTGAGGCGAACATGCTTGATGGTTATACCACTTTTTACTATCGTTGTTTTGAGGCTGATTTGCTTGATGGTTATACCACTTCTGTTATTTTGAGGCAAATTTGCTCGATGGTTATACCACATTTTCTCTTTTTGTTTTGAGACGAATTTCCTTGATGGTTATCCCACTATTTCTGTTGTTGTTTTGCGTCGAATTTACTTCATGGTTATACCATTTTTTGTTGTTGTTTTGAGGCGAATATCCTTGATGGTTATCCCATTTTTCTGTTATTGTTTGAGGCGAATTTCCCTGATGGTTATCCCACATTTTTGTTGCTGTTTTGAGGCGAATTTGCTCGGTGGTTATCCCACTTTTCCTGTTGTTGTTTGGAGATGAAATTCCTTGATGGTTGAATCACTTTTTCTCTTGTTGTTCTGAGGCAAATTTCCTAGATGGTTATCCCACTTTTTCTCTTGTTGTTTTCAGACGAATTTGCTCGATTGTTTTACCACTTTTCCTGCTGTTGTTTTGAGGCGAATTTCCTTGATGATTATCTCACTTTTTCAGTTGTTGTTTTCAGGCGAATTTCCTTGATGTTTATCCCACTTTTTATATATTTTGTTTTGAGGCGAATTTACTAGATGATTATCACACTTTTTCTGTTGTTTTTGAGGCGAATTTGCTTGATGGTTATCCCACTTTTTCTGTTTTTTATTTTGAGGCGAATTTGTTTGATGGTTATACCACTTTTTCTGTTATTGTTTTGAGGCGAATTTCCTTAATGGTTATCCCACATTTTCTGTTGTTTTTTTGAGGCGAATTTCTTTGATAGTTATCCCACTTTTCCTTTTGTTGTTATGAGGCAAATTTGCTTTATCATTATCACACTTTTGCTATTGTTGTTTTGAGACGAGTTTGCTTGGGATAACCCCTCTTTTTCTGTTGTTGTTTCGAGGCGAATTTGCTCGATGGTTATAACACTATTTCTGTTGTTTTTTTGCGGCGAATTTGCTTGATGGTTATACCACTTTTTCTGTTTTTGTTTTGAGGCAAATTTGCTCGATGGTTATACAACTTTTTCTGTTGTTGTTTTGAGGCGAATTTGCTTGATTGTTATCCCTCTTTTCCTATAGTTGTTTTGAGACGAATTTGCTTGATGGTTGTATCACTTTTTCTGTTGTTGTTTTGAGGCGAATTTGCTTGATGGTCATCCCACTTTTTCCGTTGTTGTTTTGAGGCAAATTTGCTTGATGGTTATCCCACTTTTTGGGTTGTTGTTTTGAGGCGAATTTGCTCGATGATTATACAACTTTTCCTTTTGTTGTTTTGAGGCAAATTTCGTTGATCGTTATCCCACTTTTTCTGTTGTTGTTGTGGGGAAAATTTGCTCGATGGTTATCCCACTTTTTCGGTTGTTGTTTTGAGGCGAATTAGCTTGATGGTTATCCCACTTTTGCTATAGTTGTTTTGAGACGAATTTGCTTGATGGTTATACCACTTTTTCTGTTGTTGTTTTGAGGCGAATTAGCTTGATGGTTATCCCATTTTTCTGTTGTTGTTTTGAGGCGAATTTCCTTGAAGGTTATCCCACTTTTTCCGTTGTTTTTTGCGGCGAATTTGCTTGATGGTTATCCCACTTTTTTCTCGCTGTTTTCAGGCGAATTTTCTCGATGGTTATCCCACTTTTTCTGTTGTTGTTTCGAGGCGCATTTGCTCAAATGTTATCCCACTTTTTCTGTTGTTGTTTTGAGACGAATTTCCTTGATGTTGTATCACTTTTTCTGTTGTTGTTTTGAGGCGAATTT